ACCAATCTTTCCACAGGCGTTATTGAAATCGGTCCACATTCGTTCCGCTTGGCTGATGCTTAGTGTTATGAGGACGATATCATCAGCAAAACGAAGATGGTTTAATTGTCGACCGTCAGTTTATCCCCATCGTCCCATTCTATTTTGCATGACGTTTTGGAGAGTAGTAGGGAATAATTTTGGCGGGATTCTACCGCCATGTGTAACTTCTCTTTTAGATCGATAAAATTATTGTTTTAGAATGGCGATATTTTGGTGGTGAAATTATTTTGCAGCATGAAAGGATCGTTATGTACTGAGTAGAGATGACCTGGCTGTTCAAAACTTTTATGGCTGCTTCTGATCACTTTGAATGAAGACTTACTTCAAATGGATGAAAGTGAGACCCTGCGTTTCTGGAGAGCACACGGTCGTTTTTGCTTCGTGTTTAATTCCCCTACCTACCACATAAGGCGCGTCACATGCCTTTGCGACCAACAGTGCTCCGAGATCCTTCAAAAAAGGAGATCGGTGAGAGTGTTAGCATATTGTAAAAAGAACCTTTTCACAAATCCTAGTCATGTAAACAGGGCACTTTGACTGTGAATATTTATTTGTTTATTTTCTATTTTTTACTAAGCTCCTTTCACAAATGAGTCACAGTGCTGAGACGCCGAGATCTAAGCTTTCGAATAGCTACTAGTATTTTGGTTAGAAAGCCTACTCAGCTAGGAAGACTGTTGAAAATTCGCGCATCGAAGACGATGCACGTCGTCCGGAAAGAAGTGAAGGTCTTGATTGCGTGTCAATTGCATTTGCTATACGGTAGGATCTTTGAGCGCTGCTTGTCTGGGGCACGCTTGACATCCTCTTCCTGTCGCAGTTTCTCTGGTTCTGTTTTTTTTCTCTGTTCCTTCCTGTTTTTATTTCTCAGTTGTATTTCTTCTTCATAAACTGCAGAGCTTTGTGCATAAACTGTAGACGTGGTTGACAAATACTCTCGTTTGTTTTGAGACCTCAAAGGGTCAAAATGAACAGTCCAGAATCGAGATTTGCTGAAGAAATTGCTTTATGCAAGTCCATTTACAAGATGACAAAACTGCAAGCTTTTTTTTTGTCCGTACCATTGGGATCAATCCCTCTTGGAGTTGAGGTGATGTATGTCTCTTTCTGATCTAAACAGTTATATATGTATTTTGCTTTGATATAATTTTTAAGAATGTTTAAAGCCCTACCCGAGGATGGTACGCCAGAGCCAAAACAGTTGTAACCTGCGTCTTACTTTCCCGTGTGATTTGACAATACTCCTTTTTTTATTTTTATTCCTTGTGATTCTTTTTCAATCTATTTTTCTCTATTCATATATGCAGTGGACTGTGGTTAAGTGGGCTCCGATGCACAGCGCGGCGCGGGGCTGGTTCCCTTCCCCACCCGGCCCAACCTGGCTATCATCGAGACAGCTAGAAGACATGCTCGACCCAATGTATTACGGCATTCAAGAAGAAGATGGGAAACAAATTAAATGCTGGAAGTACCTGAGATCAAAAAAGAAAAATGTGAGACGGTTCAAGTAGAGTGCAATTATTGCTGCTCTGGCACCTCGACAATTTCATAGATTGGATTCAAGATATGTATACTACTAAGATGCCATATCAGAGCTCTTGAAAGACTTAATCCCTTGAGGTTCACCGTTGATATGCGTGCGGCGTCGCGCCATCGCTTGCGCGGCAGTCGCGTGCATGCATGTCTGGTTCTATGCCTGCATACGACACGTACCATATGATCCTTAGAAGCTTGAAGCATTTTAGCAGACTGTATTGAAGGAAAAGCCGAACCTGTCATTCTGGCTAGAACGGGAAGTAGTGACAGAGCTGGTTGCGAAGAGTCTGAACGTTATGGACAGGTGTGGAAGTACATTTATTAATTTGCTCTATGTATAATACGAGCACCATCCTGTTTTCACTTAGCTTCTTTAATGGACGCAATTTGGTTAATCCCTTCTTCAGAAATATTTTGTTTTTTTGAGGACGGTGCATATAGAGTGCATTTTCACACAGAGATCTTTGCCTACTTAGATAGTGGCATCTTTTTATCAATCTGCCTGTTTCGGTTCTTTTTTTACTTCCGGATTCTGTATTGAAGTAGAATCATGATACATGGTACAGTGTGTAATAAACACACTTTCAGATCTGCTCTGAAATGTTTGATAGAATTTGTTTCCTCAACATGGATGATAATTACAATGTCTGATTCTATTCTATAGCTAAATATTGTTCAAGCGCGTGTGGCTTCGAAGTTAAGCGGTGCCTTGCGACACACATGGTCAATGGTTCGATTTCGCGCCTAAGGCTCACCAAGTCATCCATCCCTCCGGGGTCAATGAATGAACACTGACTTGATGCATCGCTAGGGCACCGCGAGTCATTATAATGGTCCGATATGCAATCGATCCTCTCGAACAAAACTTTTAAAGACGCTTGATGAAGTTGAATACATTGAGCATCTGTCAGGGTTGCTCAACGTCTGGAGCTTCATTCTTTGTTTATGCGTTGAATAGTGTATATTTGTATGAAAGAAAAAAAGATAAATGATAGCTCTATGTTAAGTGGTCCGTCCGGAAATGCTAAAGTTTTCTTTTGCAGATATGTAAGAATCTATATCCGCGGATTGAACGATTTCAACGAAAAGAGCCAAAATTTTTACGTGAAAATCTGAAATTGACATCATAATGTTGTTTACGTCAGGGTGGATATATTGTAAACATGTCCTTGTGATCCAAGCACATAACCGCTAGTCGTGCTACAGATCCTTCATATGCTTATCCGATTCGTAGCCTAATTTTTATTGGTTTTCTTATCTGTATCCTCCAAGGATGGAATGTATGCACATATTAAGAACAGGATATGGCTGAAATTTCGGGATAGATACATACTTTACTTGTTAACAGAGAACATTCGGTACTGAAATGAACTATTTAGGGATATTTTTTTGAAATATCGACGTAATTTCTGTTCACAGGCAGCTTCAGAGCATTGACTTATGGACTTGATAACACTCAAGGAACTTCGTACAGCGCGCGCTTGATAATAAACACTGTTAGTTCTAGAGAGAATTGAGTGATGAGCAAAAACATGGCCTAAGCTGGGAATCGAACCCGCGTTTCATCCTATCCATGGATGCGTGCTCTATCACAACATCACCAATCACATTTGCGCCACCACTCATTCTTCATCATCTCTATGCCTTCCATCTCTTCACTGTTAGTACTAACAAAAAGGCACGATCAATATGAAGCGAAGGAAAAGTACTTTATTCTTTTGCCATCAATTTGTTTAATTTTCCATCAAAGGAATGTTAGTTTCTGTTGGACATGAGCGGGCCGTAGATGTATTGTTTTTTCGTGCCAAAGGAACAACAATTTTATTGAAGTTAAGCTCAACCATCTCTTGTGTATGAATGAGTATGGGAATTTTAATATTATGAAAGTCAAAATGCATTAGAATAATATCTTCTATTTAATCGAGCTTCATTTGCTTTCTGCTGGCGGTTGGTTTTCAGGCTTCGCTCCGGCATCTGGTTTTTGGCCTACGTCTGGTACCACAGTTCGCATCGATGGTGTTATTTCTTTTGGTTTTCGTTTTGCACAATGTATATAAGTGCTTGCAACCATACCTAATACCAAACACATCCATGGTATCATTGATCTGAAAAATTCATACAGAACAATATGCTCTAATAGACCGCGAGTCCTCAACATCTAGCCAAAAAGTTTTTTGCAGTTTCCTGTGGATGCGGGCACTCAAATCTTGTTGCTGATATTTTGAATTTTGCTCTGGACAACCTCCCGACAGCTGATATAGATGGTCTGCACGACTACTGTTATATTCCGAGAATTATATATATATATATATATATATGTATATATATATATATCTGCACGGAGATTGTATGCATACATATATAGATGCATATATATGACAGATGTGTGTATAAGTACATATAATGTACATATATATATATATAATATATATATATATATATATATACCATAGCTGAAAGTTGCCGAAGAATCTATGTTCAATCAAGAAGCAATCAGTTTGGTAGCATTTCAATTACCTGTAAGGTGTGCCTTGGTTGACTTTATTGAGTTTCAGTCAGTCAATGCGACAACATTTCAATTTCAATAAAAAATGCATGGATAAAAAAAAACGCGCTTGAGCAGTAAATGATTAAAAGAAGGTGGTACCTGTGTGAACGGTGTGTACGGCGTTAACAGCTGTTTGCTTGAACAAAATGAGTCACACCAACAAACTTAAGGTCGTTAATATTCCGATAAATAATTTTTTGATTTTATCAAGGGTTTGTTGGCGGTCGCATATCATATGATATTTCTGATACGTTGAGTATAATTAAATGGTAAACTGTATTAGATGGCGGTGTTCCAAGATCGAATTTCCAATAGGATAAATTTTGGATTTATCTACGATCCTCCGCTATCCATTGCAACAATTATTTTAATTTTATCATCACGAAGTCATAAATGATTTTATAGTAGTTATTGCACTGATCTCAGCTGGTCAGTCAACTAATCGCGTATTACTGGGCGTTATAGGAATCTCTGCGGTTAAAAAGTATCCTAGCTGCAAGGCACAAAATCTCTCATTTACAGAGGAAGGTGACCAATTGTTCTCATGACCTGGTAACACCATGGCGCCGCAATACCGATTGGAATCACATGGAATAGGCTCTTAATCAACATCCACCATATCGCCTAGTTGCCTGGATCTGAATGTCACCCAATAATGAACGATCCTAGAGCTTACTAGGGAAATATGTCCGCCGATTCCCAGTGATGTAGCGACGTGTAAAAGTGCCTCAACCGGGACTCGAACGCGTATCTCACCCTACCCGTGGGCGCGTGCTGAACCGTTGCACGTCCGACACCCGCTTGGAAACCACTCTTCCTATATATGTCGAGTGATGTGATGACTCTAGCGTAGAAAGAGTGGTCTTAAAAACTGGCGTCGGTAGTGCAACGGCTCGAGCACCACGCGCTCCCTGATAGGGTGAGATGCGCGTTCGAACCCCGTCTGACGCAATTTAGCACATCCTCTACAGCATTGAGTATATTATAACGCCATACCACGGCTGAAAAGCGGTTAAATAAGAAAGAATTCTGTCTGATTATCTAATACCCAGTGTCCGTCAGCTTGAAGGGGTTCAATGTCGACAGAGGCTACCTGGGTCAAACCGTTGGCGATTGGTTGCTGGCAAACAGATGCGTTATAGCGTAGAAAGCGTGGTGTGAAAGTGCAACGGTTCAAGCATGCTCCCGGATAGGCTGAGATGCGGGTTTAAGTTCCAACTGACGCAAGAGTTTTGCATATCACTCTACAATATTGAGTATATTATAAAATCATGCTCCCTCAGAAAAGCGGTCAATAAAGAAGAATTCTGTCTGTTATTCGAAAACAAGAGGCATATCATAAACGTTCTACTATTCCATAGATCAAATCCATGGTAAATAAATCCCTTCGCGGACGTCGCCGGGTAGCGGACGGCCCAGATGGCTGCGAAAAGAGCCGCCAATGTGCGCTCCAAGGATATATGGTAGTTCTCTAATGGAAAATATACTTTTTTTCGTCAACATGTGGGATTTATGTGCCAATAAAGGGTCAGGTATGATAAGACAGACCTCAGTAAAATTATTTTTATTAGAAATAACGCAAATGCTCCATTCATAATCCGCACTTCCGAAGGAAAAAACTAAGTAGTGACGAAAAGGCTATATTTAGAAGCTTTATCGAACATTTCCACAATATTTTGCTTATAGTTCCTACATTTCGATCAACTTTATCTTTTATTTATCTCATCTTTCCGTATACTTATTGCATGAAGTGCATGAAATTTATCGTACTGACTGAAAATTGAATAACAATGAGTAGTTCGTCAAAAATACTGCTGTTTGTTGTATTCGATCTCAGTTCATCGATAATTCTTGATATTTTTTTGATTATTAGTGCAGTTCAGATTCCCATTTCCTAACTCTCTAGTCATAGCTATGGCATGCAAAGAAGAGATGAAGGTGTAGCGGTTCTTTCACAATCTCTCCACCCTGCTTAACCCTTTGGTAGATACGTATGAATCGCTCTAGTAGCCATTCGATAGCTAAAATCAAATGAATTCAGACGATGTATTAAATCCTTCTCAATCTCAACAACCACTCTGTCTCACTTCCATCGATGTGAAGAAAGCATTTGATTTAGTGCGGACAGAAGCGGTTATAGAGGCTCTGGGTAATCAAGGCGTCCCGACTCGGTACATAATGATTCTTCGTGGGGCTTTATAGAGATTTCACGACCAAAATATCTCCATTCTACAACAATATCACCATTGACGTAAGAAGAGGGTTTGACAAGACGATACAATCTCTCCGAAATTATTCACTGCCGTCCTCCAAAACGTCGTGCGAACATTAGAGTGGGACGATCTAGAGTGAAAACTGACGGTTGACAAGTGAACCATCTTCGCTTTGCTGATTATATCCTCCTCATAACACCAATCGTCAGCTAAGCGGAACGAATGTTGACCGAATTCGACAACGCCTACGGGAAGATTGGTCTTCAACTGAATGTAACGGAAACGATGTTTATGAAGAACGGATGGATTTTCAATGCCCCATTCAAGCTCAGCTGAACGAAAATCTCCGAATGCATGCTCCAGTTAACTTAAGTGGATCGATTTCTTCACTGTAACAGTCGAAAATCTACACTTTATTTCACATTCAAGCATTTATCGCGACAAAGCTTCCTTCATGAGCAATTGATGACCGCACCTGATAGGGAAAATTCTAGCAATTTCAACAGTGTCTTGATTTTGATAAGAATCTTCTCAGAGTGTTGTAACGCCGTCAAAAGAAGATTAAATTTCGCAAACTTAAATAATTTTCGATGGCCGCATCCTGTTTTGCGCACCTCTTAGGAATAACTTTTTTGATTTTTTTCTTTTCCTGATTTTAGTCAGAGTTATCACTAGCCATTCGATAGTGTAAATCTTGAAAATTTTGATGGTATACTCCATTCTTAGAATGGCTTCCTTAATGCGCTCTAACAGTATGAAACAAAATATAGCTTTCACACTCAAGCATTTCACACTGAGGTTAGCTTTTCTGCTGGACTTCTTATAGTTCTTCGATAAATCATATCTCGACGATTTCATAACCTTGTTTTTGAAAAGAACCCTTTATTGCAGTACATCAGCCAAAAGAAGATTACGTTTCGCAGTTAGCTGATGTGTTGCTAAAGGCACGGTGGTGACTTGAGGCCAATTTCGCGAAATCTCGACCTGTGGAGTGCGAAGCCCAATCTTCGTTGATTTCCACAGCTCGCTAAGGAATCCCTTCTAAAAATGAACTATGTTTATGAAACCGCTGAGATTTGCACTATCGAATCGTTGAAAGTTGTTCATAGAAAAAACTTTATGCGGAGAGAAATCCTCGAATGTGAAACAAAATTTTATCTCGACTGTTACAGCGGAAGAAATAGGCCATTTGAGAAACAACATACACCATTGATGTTCATTTGATTTGAACTATCGAATTTTCCAGAAAAAACCAAAGCTCACGAGCGAATCCTTGAAATACGGTTGCATGGGACGGAAGTTATTTCCAAAGTGGATATTTTCAAGACAGTTAAGCGTTATACTCTCTACAAATACGTTCATGGAAGCTTCTTCAATGATAATTTATTTTCAGCATAAGAGTCTATAGTTAATCGAAATCTGTCTATATAATCCCAAGAAATCCGCTTCTAATTAGAAAAACTGTATTGCGATTGCAAAAGTCATCTTCTACCTTTCATTAGAACGTAGTGTGGGCTTGTTTTCAAACAACAAGCTTAGTATTAAAGCCAGAATTTCTTCAGCTATCTACTGACTGCAAAACATCAAGAAGATATGAGAAAATGCCCAACAACACCTGGAAATATAATCCTTTTCGCAAATATATATGGTTATTTCTTCTATAGAAGACAAGATTTTTAGCTGCATTAGCGTTGATCTTGCGAAAATCATTCTGTAGGAGTGTTATCAGTAATATTTCATCGTTCTTTGACCGCAATGTTCCTCTCAGAGCTTTACTACTCCAAATTTCTTTGAAGCGTGCACCAATCTCCCTAGCACGGCCGAGCTGCGCGGCCAGCTGAGAGACATACTGATCCTAATCGTCCGCAAAGGGATATTTATCACATTATGAACACCACTCGGTTTATACGCTCGCTGGTTGTTTGTACATGGGTGAAGCCAACCACCTTATTCGTAGTTCAACCGCATCAAGTTAAGGCTTCAGCAAGAATTTTATTTCAATGCATATACATAACTGCTTGCTTGTTGTAGATAATATTGTCTTTTATGACGTTGTTATCTGAACCCTAGAGCTGCATTACTCACTGAGATTACAATGTGTTATCCTTTTATGGATCATGTGTTACATTTAATGTCCCGTCTCACTCAGCTCTGCAATGACTGCGTTACCCCTCTCTGCGAAGTTGTATTAGCGAAAACTGCGATAGAAATAAGAGAAGATACTAATTAAAAAATTCTAGTCATGAAGGAACTTCATCGCTACGAAAATATGGGACGTCAGTGAATAAACTTATAGTATATTCAATGAAATAGGCGCATGTGGCACAATAGTTGGAAATGCTTTGCGTCGCACGCATGATTTATGGTTTGATCTCGTGCTCATAGTTCACCAAGCCAGCCATCCCTCCCAAGTCGGTAAATTGATATCATACTTGCAAGAGAGAATAGCAACACTGACTTGCTACATCGATAGGTCATTGCCGGTCAGAATAAAAGCCAAATATGCATTCAGTCACCTTAAACGAAGCAAAAAGTTGGAGACGAATGCATAACGCATCGCTCAGGCATTGGTCAATGCCGAGAGCTCCGTTATTTATTGTTCATTTTCAATAGAAAAGGCCCATATGTCGTATAAATTCCCATTTCCATCAAAAGTTGTTGAAGTGCAGTTACATCGTGTGTAATGCTGTCGTGTTTCCTCGCCTTTTTTACCGAAAAGATTTTTCACTGACTTACTAGTAATTATTTAGTATCTCAAAAACGGGAGATCTCAGTATTCGAGTTTAATTCCTGAGAAAAGCTACTTTATGAATGACTTGTTTCAACCTTGAAGCTGTTCTTTGTATTACATAGAGAAGCTTCGATTCTAAGCAAATTTCGTCACTATGAAAGATTAGATTGATATTGGAATACTTCTGTAAAGATTTTTTAGTATAAGCAAAAATAAATGCTCAGTTGCGGTAAAAATCTTTACTTTCCAATATAGTAGCTGAATTCTTTGGAACCCAGCATTAACATATTTCTAACTCTTTCCACACTTCTTGCTTTCTTCCTGACCCACATTTCCCAAACACTAGGGTGATGACGCAAAATGACCGACATTTATTCAGCAACAAACACTGAAATCAACTTCTACAATCAACATCGATCAGAAATAACTAATACTGAACCAGTACCCATGAACAGCTTGTAGTTGAGATCAAAGGGAGATAGCATGTACATGGGAATGAAAACAGGTAAAGCAAAGTCCTAAAAAGATTGTACCCATGAACAGCTTGTAGTTGAGATCAAAGGGAGATAGCATGTACATGGGAATGAAAACAAGTAATGCAAAATCCTAAAGAAATTCTATAGGCTGTATACAATAGTGATTCAGATATTACTGAATTCTAGGCTCGTGTATAGAGTTAACGGTGTAAAAAGAATCTCTACAATTAAGTTTCACACATTAATTAGATCTAAGTATTGACATTGCAAACACGCACTCGAACAAATTTGGTTTTGACATCTTATACTAACCCTCTACAGCACTCTACACAGTGTCTTTGCTTTGCGTTCCTGCGCAAAATTGACTAAAGTGGCAGCCGAGGGGGATTGCCATCTGATAAGTACATGGGGTACACCATGCACTTGAGTCGGCCACTTGCACTTTTCCCACGTTTTCCTCGTGCAGCACCTAGGCGTCCATTTTACGCACATCTGTTACGAAATGGTGGAGCAGACGTACAGACCTAAAGT